TATTCTTTTTAGGGGCCATTGATTCAGCTGTACCCCACGCAGAAAAAATTGAGTGGTTGCCTGGACCTCCTGTGTGGGTGGATCAATGGCCTCTTTCCCAAGAAAAATTACAGGCTGCTCATAGCTTAGTACAGGAGCAGCTTGAGCTTGGCCATTTAGAAGTCTCATTCTCTCCTTGGAATTCCCCAATATTTGTAATTAAAAAAGAAATCTGGAAAATGGAGACTTTTACAAGATCTAAGACAAGTTAATAAAAGAATGATAGTAATGGGTGCTCTTCAGCCTGGCCTTCCCTCCCCGGTAGCCATTGCCAAAGAATCCAAAATTATAGTAGTGGATCTAAAGGATTGTTTTTTCTCTATTCCCTTACATCATGAGGATAAACAGTATTTTGCTTTTAGTCTCCCAGATAGATGCAGATTATACGGGTGAAATAAAAATATTAGCTTCATCACCTGATGGCATCACTGTTATTCCTGCTCAGGAGCGAATCACAAATATTGCTTTGTCCTTATATAGACAAAGGGAAGTTTTTATCTCCTCAGAATAGGCAAAATAGAGCCTTTGGGTCTTCTGATACATTTTGGGTCACACCTATTCAACAAGATAAACCTGAATTAGCAATTTGGATTAATAATAAACCATTCAAGGGAATTTTAGATACTGGAGCTGATGTGACTGTAATAGCTCAACAACATTGGCCCAAGAATTGGCCTGTCCAAGATACAGCCACCCATCTTAGGGGAATAGGCATGATTCAAAAAGCCAGTGGGCCATGGCTGGCTTCCTACACCTAAATACTATTTATTCTGCATTTTGTTAGCTGGAATTGTAAATAGTGGAGAGCTTTTCTTTCCCCTTTGTTGATATGTGCTCCCTCCTTTACATCTGGGCAAACTGAAGGTACCTACCTCCTTAGTCTAAGATCATGACATATAGCTGGTGTCTCTGTGTGAAGCCCTTGAGGCTGATATTTTGAAACCTGGCCTTTTGCTTTTTTTTTTTTTTTTGGTACCAGGGGACTTGAACTTGTGACTTTGCACTTGAGAAGCAAGCAGGAGAACCACTGAGCTAAATCCCTGGCCCCTAGATGTATGTTTTGTTTCTTGAGTAAGTTGAGACATAAACCAATGGTAGTGGTCCTCTCCACTCACCCACATGAGGAATTAAACCTTGGCCTTGTACATGCTGGGTAACCATTCCACCATCGAGCTACATCCCTGCCCTCAAATTTTGTTGTTGTTGTTGTTGTTGTTGTTGTTGTTGTTGAGACAGGGTCTCACTATGTAGTTAAGACTGACCTGGAACTCACTATGTAGCCCAGGCTGGTCTCGAACTCATGGCAATCCTCCTGAGTGCTGGGATTACAGGCGTGCGCCACCATGCCCGGCATCCCAATTCTTTAAATTATATTTTGAGAGAGTCTCACTAAGCTGCCCAGGTTGCCTCACATTTGAGATGACCATTCTCCAATGTCCCTGCCCTGGGTTGTACTTCCTTCTAATTAGATTATTGCCATTGTGTACTTCCTAGCAGGTACCATCACTGAGAACCATAATAGGCTGGGGAGAACATCAGTCCAACTGCTCTGCACTGGCCCACCCCTCATGTTTGTTTGTCTGCTCTAGTGTGTGGCCCACAACGCCCTGGAGTGTGCACGAGCTATCTACGCCTATGCCCTGCAAGTGTTCCCCAGCAAGAAGAGTGTGTGGCTACGAGCTGCGTACTTTGAGAAAAATCACGGTACCAGGTATGTGTGGGACTCACCTGCTCTGTGTGCCTAGTAAAGCATGGTGCTTGACCTTAAACCTTGCATTGCTGCAGACCCATGAGTGCTTCCATCTGACATCTGTGATGATGGGACGACTTGTGATTAGGGCAGAAGCTTTTATGATACTTCTTCGGACTTTGCAGCTGGATTGGTCTTTATAACCCCTTGTGCAATAGGATTATCACTCTTTTATAGTTGAGAAATGGGTATCAAGACGACCTGTTCTGACCAAGTGCCCCATGGCTCCAGGAGTGGCTGGGTGCAGGCTTGAGGCTGGAGCCAACAGGGTGGTGGGTACTGGCTTCAGCCATGGGCGGTTTAGCATCTGGAACCATGCAAGCTGTTTTTTATTTAAGCTGTGCTGCTTTTGGTTTTGGCTGGTTTTATGCACAGAGGAGGTCCATTACAGTCTTCTTTAGTTGTACTCTTTAATTGAAAAAATCTTTTTAGGTCTTCCTTACTGGTTGTAAATGCTGATTAAATTAGGCCTTGCAATTTCTTGTTTTAAATGGGTAGCTCTCTAGGGCATTGGGTTCATGTCTCTGGACACCCTCCATCTTCCATCCAGCCCCTCCTGGGTCCTCAGCTGCTCTCTGTGCTTGGTAGGGACAGCCCTGTGTTCTTCTCTGATCCTGCAGCTGAGAGCATTGAGCCCTTGTTTTGTTTTGTTTCTTTTGTTTTCTCCTTTTCTTTCTTTTTTTTTTTTTTTCTTTTTCTTTCTTGGCTTTGTTTAATGTCAATTTCTTTAGAACCTCTTTCTGTGTGTGCTACTGAAGCTCCGTTCCCCTCCCCACCCTGCCAGCTGGTTTGGTATTTCAGAGTTAACAGACACATAGTAGAAATGGAGACATTTTGAAATGATACTGACAGCTCATTCTTTAGTGGGTCACCTGGGATATTGGAAACACCAAGCATGGCAGGAACATCTGCCAGATACGCATTGAGACCTGGTGGCTCCAGGCCTGAGCATGCACTGCTGGCCACTCAGTGGCTTAGTGATCCGTACCCTCCTACCACCCTCCCCACTCAGGACAGTGAGGGAAGCGGGACTGGGGCGTGGGGAGCATGGTGTTGCCTTGTGGGGCCTTTCTCTATGTAGTGTGGTTTTGTTTTGTTTTTGGTTTGTTTTTGTTTTTGAGATAGGGTCTCTCTGTGTAGTTCAGGCTTGACTTGAACTCACTGTGTAGCCCAGACTGGCCTGAAACTCCTGGTACTTCTCCTGCCTCAGCCTGCCAAGTGTTAGGATTGCAGATATGTGCTATCATGCCTGGCTGTGGTGTGGGGGTTTATTTTGTGTTTTTATTTGTTGCGGTACTGGGGATCGAACTCAGGACCTTGAGCTTATAAGGCAGGTGTGGCACGACTGAGCTATATCTCTGGCCCTTATTGTTGTAGTTTTTTTTTTTAATTGAATTTATTGGTACGTTCTAGGTAGACAGTACAGTTACATTCATTACTGGGATCTCGTACCTTTACACGCCAGGTCTTGGTTCTCATTTTTTCCCCTTGTCCCCACCCTCCCTTCACCCCTCTGTCCCTCCCCACCTTCAAACACTTTAATTCCATTTTTACATTTTCTCATATTTTTTTCCTTTTCCCTTATTCCCCTTTCCCTATCCTTCTCACTGTCCCTACACCTTTGGTCCTTTTCTTCCTATTTCACGTTGCTAATTGTCCTGTTATTGGTATAGTTTTATATGCTCACTTTGCCTTGCTGCTGTGCACAGTAAGGCTTAAGGGGATCAGCAGCAAGGGTGACATGATGAAGAGGCAGTAGGCCACAGCTGAGTCCAGAGTTCACATCTGATACTGACCTAAAACTACTTTTTTCCAATCAGACTTTTTGTTGGGGGGCTGTCAGGGACCCTTATCTTTATCTGTGGATCCGGGGTGTCCTCTTTGATTTGAGATGAAAAAGCCTTCCTGGTCACCCGACCTGATGTTATCTGTGCCCCCAGGACACATACTGTAAAAGACTGCTATTTAAACAATGTGTTGCTTTGTGGAACCCTCTTCAGTAATTGATTTTTAGATCCTTTATAGAGAGGAAAGATTTCCCCACGCTCTCCCCATTGTAAAACCTGGTAAATCATTTCTAGTGCCGAACTTTGGAGTGCTAACGGTCTTTCTCAGTATCCCTGCATGGTTGTGTGTCTGTGCTCTGGTTTATGGCCTGCCTCTAGTGACTGTGGCCTCTGTCCTGCAGGGAGTCTCTGGAAGCACTTCTGCAGCGGGCTGTGGCCCATTGCCCCAAGGCAGAGGTGCTGTGGCTCATGGGTGCCAAATCCAAGTGGCTGGCAGGAGATGTGCCTGCAGCAAGGAGCATCTTGGCCTTGGCCTTCCAGGTGGGTGAGGTATTGCTCATGTTGGGAAGGTTCTGCGCATGAGACCCTGATGCTGATTCCACCAGTGCCTGGCCTGAGAGCCTCTTTTATGCATGATGCTTGGGATATCCTGTGATCTGGGTGCGTTGAATTCTGCAGGCTGCTGGGGCTGTGAGGGCCCTCAGATCAGGAAGAATAGCCCCACACGTGTTTTTTGGTCCCTGCTTAGTGAGACCACAGGCCACGTTTTGTGGAGCACAGAACACAGAGTCACCTGAGGGTGAGGCTGGCCACAAACTCACAGTAATCCTCAGCCTCTCAAGTGTTTGGCTTTAAAAATAATTATCACAGTATCCTATTTTATGACATGAGATAGTTTCCCAGCATACTTTGGTGTGTGTGTATGATAATGGCGATTAAATTTAGGGCCTTTACCCTAGGTTATATCTCCAGCCTTTTTCAAACATTTTAATCTTGAGACAATCTCAGTAAGTTGTCCTTATTGGGTTTAAACTTTCATTCCTCCTACCACAGCCTCCCATAGTGCTGGGATTACAGCTGTACACCAGTACACCCAGCTCTGGCATACTTTCTAATGGAACTACAGAGTTTACAGTATAAATGTCCGGCTGCTTTTACAACCCTAGCTAACATTGTAAAGTTTGTCCTTCATCTAGTAAATACCATGAAAGGGACTGTCTTGGGCTGGTCTTTTGCTCCTAGCTGCCTGCTGGAGAAAACACAGGAGCCAGAGTATCTCCCTTCACTGCTTGCTGCCTGTTGCCTCGTTTTCTTATATGGTAAAACCCCTGTGGTGCCTTTTCTTGCCTGTCACTAGGGCTGCTTCTCAGGTGTTTGATGTGGCCATCTTGTATATGACTGATGAGGCTCTGCCTGGGCACTAGCTAAGAAGGCTAGAAGGCCCCACTGGCATGTGTGCTGGATGCTGGATTGCCTGTGGCTTGGTCCTGGTCTTTGAGCTTCATCATGGTCATCTGAGGCATCTCTCCCCCTGCCCACATGGGCACTTTAGGGCGGCTGGCTGAGGAAAGGAGTGAGGTCAGCTGTGTCAGGTCCATGTTTGTAGTTCACAAGTGACCATGCATAGGCTTTGGGAGGCTGTGCTGTGTTTGGGTGGATTTGTGGAAGATGCCTCTACAGCTGCAAGCATTATTCTACAAGAGCTGTGGAGCTCTCAGCTCTGTACCACAGTAAAAAGACTGGCAGGAGTCTGCTCTGTCATCTATCCTAGGAAGGGCTTGGGATGACACTAGTCTCAAAGAAGAGGGAGGTCTGTCTCATTTCCCAGGCCACTTGCTTTTGTTTAAGTGTGAGCTAGCACTGTTGACTTTTGTTCTGATCCCTTCGTAACACTGCTGTGCTTGCCCTCCAGGCCAACCCCAACAGCGAGGAGATCTGGCTGGCAGCCGTGAAGCTGGAGTCAGAGAACAACGAGTACGAGCGGGCCCGAAGGCTGCTGGCCAAGGCGCGGAGCAGTGCACCCACAGCTCGAGTATGTAATGGCAGGTGGGCAGGGTGGAGCGGGGCCCCCTGGAGCACCTCACGTGCAAGTGCAGATCCAGGGAAGAGTAAAATGGGGAAGAGAGCTCAGGCTGTGGTCCAGTCTTATTACTGAGCTGTAAATGCATCTGTTTCTTAATCCCCAACTTTGTGTACATGGGATAGTTTATAAGGCACATACGATGCAGCAGGACAGATGTGTGGGAGATGAATCAGTACAGGAAGCATGGTCACATGCGTGCTTCCCATCTGGACAGGTGGCAGATGCTGTGGGAGTAACTTCTGCATGACACTGTGTCTCTGCTTGGCAGGTGTTTATGAAGTCTGTGAAGCTGGAGTGGGTTCTGGGGAACATTGCAGCTGCCCAGGAGCTGTGTGAGGAGGCACTGAAGCACTATGAGGACTTCCCCAAGCTGTGGATGATGAAAGGGCAAATTGAGGAGCAAGGGGAGCTGATGGAGAAGGCTCGAGAAGCTTACAACCAGGGGGTAAGTCTCTGCCACAGCCAGCCTACCTCATGGAGCCAGACGTCTTGGCAGTGGTCATTGCCTCTTAGGTTTAAGGAGAATTAGAGAGCAGGGACTTGCTCAGGTCCCAGCTGATAGAACTGTGCGCTCTGGACTGAATCCTGGTTCCTTCACTGGATGCTGTGCTTTTTCCTTCTATGAGCATATGCCTGTGCTCTGGTTGGGATGTGTGGGATGTGACATGCCAAAAGTTAAGGTGGGTGTGTACACGGCACAATTGCATATGTAGAATCAACATACATATGCACATATACACAGCACAGCCACATGGGTAACTCCATACACACCTCTGTGTGTGTGTGTGTGTGTGTGTGTGTAATACAAAAACAAATCTGAAAATCCCATGTACAGAACATGAAGTGGACATCTCTGTGGTTTCAAGGTCTGAGGTGAGCTCAGGTAGAGCCAGCCATGAATGTGTTGCAGTCCTTCGTTGTACCTCCTGAGCCCCTCTCTTGGTTTGTTGACTGCAGCTAAAGAAGTGCCCCCACTCCACACCCCTGTGGCTCTTGCTTTCCCGGCTAGAGGAGAAAATTGGGCAGCTGACCCGAGCACGGGCCATTTTGGAGAAGTCTCGTCTGAAGAACCCAAAGAACCCTGGGCTGTGGTGAGTCTTGGGCTGTTTGTTGGCCCATCTTCCCCTTCAGGGGGGCTGTACTCATTGTGCAAGAGTCACTTGCAGTGTTTCAGCTCAGGCTCCCGTGGTGGGAGCAGCATGGGGCGGGGATCATGGTTTCTCTGTGGGGGAGCTTGGTCTGGGCCAGGCTGGATAGGCCCGTAGCTGGTTTGATGCTGACAGCACTCAGGAAGTGAGGAGCTGACGATGGACTGAGGGAGGGTGAGGCTGAGACCACACTTCACAGAAGAGGTGGCAAAGACATGGACTTGGGAACTGAGCAGGAGTTTGCCAGAGGAAGCATGTTGTTGTCTGGAGAGGTGTAGAGTCCAGGTGCGGGTGGTGTGCTGCAGTATAAAAGGACACTGCCAAGGAGGCATAGCTCTCGCCCTTGGGATGTTATGTGCTTCTCCTGGTGTCTTCTCTTTCATATAGAGTGAGTGGGTCCCAAGGCCTTGGCTCAGCCAGCTCCTTGGGCCTGATAGGCTTGTGCAGTGGCATCAGCGTTACTTCCTCTGGTGGGCAAGTTCCACCCTACAGAGAACAGAATCCTATTTGCTGCAGTTACTGAGACAGGAGCTTTCTGACAAGACCCTTGGAAGAGTGCCACTGTGTGGTTAGATGTCCATGGGCTTGTCCCACCAGGTTGGAGTCCGTCAGGCTGGAGTATCGTGCAGGGCTGAAGAACATCGCCAACACGCTAATGGCCAAGGCATTGCAGGAATGCCCCAACTCTGGTAAGGGCTCCCAGGACACCAGCAAGGAGGGGTACTTTCTGAGGGAGCAGGATGTAGCTTCTAACAGACTTGTTAGGGTGTGTATGCACGACTCGTTTCAGTTGAGTTTCATTGTACTTGGTTTCTAAGACAGGCTGAATTCCCAGCCTCAACTGAGAGTTTGAGTTCATATTCTGAAGTGCTGCCATTTCTTTTTCTTTCAAGATTTAACTATTATTTTATCTCAAGTATCTAAGGAATACATATACAACATAAAGAAATTTGGAGTTAAAAGGAGAAATAGCAATCGCCTTTCTCCTACTACTTAGATTCCTACTCTTACTCTTTATAGTGTTACAGCCTATATTATTGCACGCAGTTAAAGTCACAGTGTGTATTTGATATTTTCGCCCCTTGCTCCCCATACCAGAGATTGAACCCAGGGCCTTTGCATTGAATTATATTCCTAGCCCATTTTTTTGAGATAGGGTCTCACTAAGCTGTCCAAGCTGAACTTGAATCCTCCTGCCTCTCAGCGTGCCAGGATTGTAGGCATGTGCCACCATGCCCAGCTTGATGTTTTACCTTTTTTGTTTTTGTGGTGCTAAGAATTGAATTGACCTTATATGTCTTAGGCAAGTGCTCTCTCACTGAGCTACCCCCCTCGCTCTGTTTACCTTTTTTAAAAGCTGAACATTTAGTAAGGACTTTTGATTCTTATTAAGTGTTTGGGAACGTAGATTTCTAGTGGCTTTTTATATGCATCAGCAACATACCCTCAGTTGTTGGCTGTTCATTAGACTTTTAAGGTCCCCCCAGCTCTTTTTTTCCCACTACTGGGGATCACACTCAGTACTTTGCATTTGCCAGGCAGGCATTTCACCACTGAGCTACATCCCTGGCCCTAGTTCTCCCCATTTTTCCCCTTTTTTGTTATCTCCAATTTTAATGTGATACTGCGTTGGGATTACTTACCATTTTTATTTAATGTGAATCTTTGCTAGTATTTCTGTTTTGTTACAATAAATTCTTAGATGTTCAGTTACTGAGTCAGTAAGAATGAAAGGTTGAAGGTTGTTGTTAATGCCTCTATCACCCCAGAACATTGTCTGCTCTGTACACAGACTAGGCAGGCAACTGGTGGGTGGGAACTTGGGGCCTTTGGGCTGGCCCTAAGCAGGATCCCTTCAGGGCAGCCTGTGTAGGTTGGGCATGTTTCTGAATCTAGAGATGAGGCTGAGGACAGATCTTTGTTTCTGAACTTTAGGTATCCTGTGGTCTGAAGCTGTCTTCCTTGAGGCCCGGCCACAGAGAAAGACCAAGAGTGTGGATGCCCTAAAGAAGTGTGAGCATGATCCTCACGTGCTCCTGGCTGTGGCCAAGTGAGTGAGTAGGAGTCCTCTTGGGATCGCTGACCCTTAGACCTAATGGGACCTTTTGCTGTCTGCCTTTCCCTGACAGTGCTAAATGTGCCTGGGAGCAGGGTGGGCACCCCCAGTCCTCGGCTCCTGGAACTTTTGTTTCAGTCTTCTTGGGTGAGGTGGTCCCATGATGTGTGCTACCCTTATTGTTGGGTGTCTGTGCATATTACTGCATCTTGTTGGCCCTCTTGGGCCCTTCTTTAGTCTCAGGTTTCCCCTTTTTTTCCTTTCAAGGAGGACCTTCAAACTGAGCTGCATCCTCCTCCCTTCTAAAAATTTTTAAATTTTTGCTATGGGGTCTTGCCAAGTTGCCTTTGCTGGTCTTGAACTTGAGATCCTCCTAGGTGACTCAGAATGCTGGGATTACAGGCATGTGCCACCATTCCCAGCAAGTCACAGGTTTCTGGTGGGGGCTGTTCTGTCTGTCAAGTTTCAGTTTGTATTGCATATGGCTAGGCTCCATGGCAGACAATTTGCTGATGTTGGACAGAATTTAAGTAATAAGCAAAGCCCCTTTGGTACAAGGGGCTTCAGCCAAGAAATTTGTTTTTATTGCATTAGGGAAAGAAGTTAAGACTTTCACCTCTGGGGTCCTGGGAACAACTCTGAGTCTAATCCTTGTGAATGGGATAGAGATGGCTGACTAGAGTCCATCTCTCTGAACACATGGTTTTTAAGAGAAGAAAAGGTCACTAAGCGACCTCAAAGCCCTTGAGCACGCTGACACACTGGTGCCAGTGAGGAGCTCTCTGGGAGGCAGTTCTAGAGCCATGAAGTTCATCAGGAAGATGGTACAAGATTGTGGCTGCTAGACTGTAGGGCCATCCTAACCCCACAGGGTCTCTACTCCCTTCTAGAAAGAGGAAGGCACTGAGGGGTTGGGCCTGAGTATGACGGGGAAGCCAACAGTGACCATGCAGAAGGATGTGAAGGGAATCATCAAAGAAGACCAAGTTGTCCTGGGTCAGGACTCCTGAGGCTGCTCCTCTGAGTAGCAGTTGCCCTGGGGACGAGGTTCTTCCCATCTCATCCCCCATCCCTCCACCACCACCCTACACCCCATACCCCTGGCACAGGGTACAAAGGCAGAGCCTTCCTAGAGCTGCTCTTAGCTGTCCTCTGAGTGGTGCTGTGTCTCTAGGGGTCTGGCAGCCTGTGCATCTCTCCAGTGCCCATCGCCCCTCCAGACAAGGGAGGCTTCTTGGAATCCACCTTGTGTCTGACCCTGCTTCCTTCCTTCGGTCCTTGTGCTTCCTTATCCCAGAGTGACTTATGTGTGGCCCTCAGATAGGGCAGCCATAAAACATTATAAAAGGCTTTGCTAAAGTAAATAAGTCACTCCCTGCTGTTCCCAAGCCATGTTCCATGTGTTGGCTGCCTGAGCTTGTGCTCTTTAAATCACAGTTTATCTAACACCAAGCAATTAAGAGTGCTACAAGGCTTAAAAAACAATCAGGTTATCACAATGTGAAATTATTCTATTTGGTACCTGAGACCAGCGCAAACAGCTGCCTGTAGTAGAGGGTTACCTGTGCCATCAGGTTCTTCAGTGCCTCTGGCTACAGGGGAGGCTGAGTTGCAGGAGGGTGGAAGTAGCCAAGTCCTAGGCTGCCAGAGAGCCCATCACATACACAGTGTACCCTGCTGTCCTGCCTTCATCAGCAAGCAGAGGAAGGGTACACGTGGAGGCTCTAATTTGGTTGCTGATAGCTCACACTCTTGGCTTCCAGCTTGGACCTTTTCAGCCTGGTTTTTGGATGTCTGTGTATCTGACAGGTACACCAGGCATGTATGTTATGTTCTGAGTACTATGTGACTACAACCTCTGACATTTTCAAATCCCCAGTGCTGACCAAAAGCCTAATCTCTTCGTGTTTGCTTGGTTTGCTGCAGGGAGCTGGCTGGACTGAGCAGAATGGTCCAGCAGGCGTCTTACTGAGGAGTAGGCTGAACATCACAGTGCTAATCAGAGCCTTAATTAATGATTGTTCAAGATTGATTTCATCTTGTATTTAACCTGGGAAAATAGTTTTAAGGAGTTGAAGATCTTGATCTGTGTGTGAATGTTTAAAGAAGCAGATAGATGCTGGTGATTAGATAATGAATGGATGGTTGTAATTGACAGTTGGATGATTTCCAGGCAGTCCAGGAGCCTTTCTCAGACATCCTCATAGTGCATGCCAGGGCTTCCTGGGGCTGTTCAGGTATGGGGTATAGTTGATGACCCACACAAATGGATGAGGGTTGGCTCAGTCATCACAGCCTGTTGGTACCACTGTGCACCTCTAACTCTGAGATCTCTCACTCCTCTCCTGCAAAAGGCTGTTCTGGAGTGAGCGGAAGATCACCAAGGCCCGGGAGTGGTTCCACCGCACAGTGAAGATTGATTCAGACCTGGGGGATGCCTGGGCTTTCTTCTACAAGTTTGAGTTACAGCATGGCACCGAGGTGAGGCTGAGCAGCTAGCATGCAGTGTCTTCCTGTCAGTGTCCTGGCCTCTGGGACTCTAGAGGAGCTCCGCTAGCCTTGGGCAGCCAAGATCAGCACCCCTCCTTCAGCGCTGGTCTGGAAGATATGGGTAGGAGGTACAGCAAGTCGATCTCTACAGCTTTTTTCTGGTTATAATTGAAATTTAATTGCTTCATCCATTTTTTTCCCCCACGTTCTGCTTTATCCATTTTAAGTGAGCCCTTTTCCCCTGAGCCACATCACCAGCCCTTTTTGGTTTTACTTTTGAGACGGTCTCCCTGAGTTGTCCAGGCAGGACTCAGTCTTGTGATTTTCCTGTCCCAGCCTCCTTCAGTGCTGGGGTTATAGGCGTGGGTCACTATACCCAGCTGTCACCATGGCCCTCATGCTCACAGGCAGGAGTAACCAAGGTCTCCTGGGGTCTTCCCTGAAGTAGCAGTCAGGCCACATTGAATTTAGTAAGTGCCTTATTCTGAGGTGCACTTGGGGTCCTTGCAGGCCGTAGAGTCAGGGTGCTGACAGCTCCGTGCACAGACGCACTGATGGGGCATTGCTTCACAGAAGTCTTGAGTAACTCTATGAACCCAGTGCCTGCCCACCCTGCCAGCTGGACTGGGTATTGCTTTTGGGGCTGGGTCCTGGGGGCAAGCAGGTGTGAGGGAGATGAAGCTCAGGAACAGCCCAGGAGGAGTCCCACCTGAAGTGCTCTTTGGTCCCTCTGCCAGGAGCAGCAGGAGGAGGTGAGGAAACGCTGTGAGAATGCAGAGCCTCGGCATGGGGAGCTGTGGTGCACCGTGTCCAAGGACATCACCAACTGGCAGAGGAAGATTGGGGAGATCCTGGTGCTGGTGGCTGCTCGCATCAAGAACACCTTCTGAGGGGGGTGGGGCATATGGGGATGGCACATGGGCAAGTGTGCTCAGGGTCTCAGGTATCTTCATTCATTAAAGATTTTTATATAGTGTATCAGGGCTGGAGCCTTGCTAGTTTTCTCCAGGCTCTTCCTTGGTGTGTGTCTTTGCAATCTGATTCCATCCCCTTGCATGTGAGTGGGTAGTTGTGACACCTCTGCTTTGGGCATGAAGATGCATGGTTGGGGTGACAGGGCTTGCTGAGATTTGCTGAAGAAGGTGGAGGGAGCACAGGCTCTGAAGACAGTAGGACACCATGTCACAGATCTGAAATAGCAGGTCAGAGGCTACACAGGACCAAGCTGTGAGTGGGATGAAGCTCTTGGCAGGGTCACATCCACAAGATAAGGGACTGTTAGGCCTTGTATCTAGATTTCCTCCCAAACCTTATGTAGTCATAAGTGGGGTTTTTCAGAGGTAGCTGGAACCACAGTGTGTGATGCTTGGATCAAGAGTGTATGATAACTGAATTAGTCTACTGATTGGTTTGACATAGTTCTGGGTGTGTATAATAGGAAGGCCTACTCTGGGTGTGAATGCTACCTGCCCTAAGGGCATGTAGAACAGATTAGAATATAAGGAACAGAGGACTAGGGTTTTAGCTTGGTGGTGCTACACCTCCTTACAGGCAGAAGGTGTCCTGAGTTTGATCCCTGGTACCGGAGGTGTGGCGGGGGGAGTATAAGGGACATTGCTTGCTTCACTATTTTGCCACTTTGCTGCCTTCTGCCCACCATAAACTGTTTCCCCCCCCCGTGATGCATCTCTGCCAGGCCACCCTACCTTGGATCCAGCCAATTATGGACTGAAACCTCTACAATCTGTGAGCTGTAAATAAAACTTTCCTCCTTTAACTTCGGGCATCAGGTATTTTGCCTCAGCAGTGAGGAAAGTAAGACAGAATTTGGTACCAGGAGTGGTAGTGGTGTTATGATTATTTTTGACCATGTGGTTCAGGGGCCTTTACACCTTGCTTGAGGGAAAAGTTTGGAAAGGTTTGGAGATGCCGGCTGGAGAAGCAGCCCTGGAATGCCTCAATATCTATTTAATGGGAGATTTTGGTCAGACCTCAGAAGAACATAATGCTGATAGCAGTGCTGCTGGTAAAGACAAGGCTCAGGAGGTTTCTGTTGGGAAGGACTACATCGGCTATTGGACTCTAGATGATGTGTGTGCCTTGACAGAAAGTTTGTCTGCATTTTGCTTGTGTAAGGGACTTTACCTGAGACCAAGAATAAAGGCAGCAGACTAATCTTGCAGAAGAAATTTCAAGGCAGTCAATGTTGAGGCAGTGTCATGGCTACTGCTGGGGGCTTTTAGCCAGAACTATGTTGAAAATCAAGAGCAAAATGCTCAGCAGAGGGCCAGGGATTTAGCTCAGTGGTACCATGCCTGCCTCAAAAGTGCAAGGTCATGACTTCAATCCCCAGTACCAAAAAAAAAAAAACTCAGCAGAATGATTTAAAACATTGTGAGGCCGGGCATGGTGGCGCACTCCTGTAATCCCAGTACTCAGGAGGCTGAGGCAGGAGGACTGCTGTGAGTTCGAGACCAGCCTGGGCTACATCGTGAGTTCCAGGTCAGTCTCAACTACATAGTGAGACCCAGTCTCACAAACAGAAAACGTTGTGAGTAGCCAGGCATGCCTACCTGTAATCCCAGCACTAGGGAGGCTGAGGCAGGAGAATCACCACAAGTTTGAGGCCAGCCTGGACTACATGGTGAGTTCAAGGCCAACCTGAGATATGTAGCAAGACCCTATCTCAAACAAATAAATAAGTAAATAAATAAATCATTATAAGTTTGGCTGGACAGGAAGCTCCAGTAAGGCTGTGGACGGCAAAGATATAGAGTAGACGGAAACTTGGTTGCAGAGAAGGAACAGGACAATGAAAAGATTGCCTGAGGACATCACAAGAAACACCAGGACTCCAGCCAAGATTGCAGAGGTGAAAGAATTTGCTTTGAGAACGCCCCAGAGCACCATGTTTCACGGTGGCAAGCCTAGAGAACTCATTCCACAGAATTGGGTTCAGAGTGCTCAGGATCCAGGCACTGCATAGCCAGCAGAGAGGGAAGCCTGGCTACTGCTCCAGCTGGTGGCAGATGTTGTTGCCCACACGGTGCTGGTTTTAGGTGCCTGCAGAATGTTAAAGAGTTGTGGTATCAGGAAGACTTGCACACAGATTTCAGAAGAATGTTTGGGAGGGCATGCAGTGTACTCCTGAAAGGGCAGTGTGTAAGGCTGTGAATGTATAGGCCACAGGTGCAGTGAAGAACCTAGAAGTTTAGAGGAGCCAGAAACATGGATTATCTGAGGAAAGTTTCAAGGAGTGAGAAGAGCCAGCTCGAGAGAAACCATGGGAGCTACAACATCTGCAATGCCGTGTAACTATCCTTATTGCAGGTTGGACAAGTGTATTACTTAGCCAGGTGTGGTGGCCTGTGTTTATGATCCCAGCACTCCAGGAGACAGGCAGGAGGATCTCAAGTTAAAGCCCAGCTTATATAAATTAGTGGCTTAGCCAGACCCTGTCTCATAAAGGGGCTGGGGAGCCGGGGAATGTAGCTCCATGCAAAAGCCCTGGGTTCAGTTCTCAGTGGAGATAAAGATACAAATATCTAAGAGATTTGGCTTGTTTGCAGCCTTTATGCTCTATGAGGATAAAGGGCGAAAGGGCTTCCTTGGACCATGGATCAATGTGTGTGTGTGTGTGTGTGTGTTTGCGTGTGTGTACATTCACTTGAAAACCATCCTGCTGGCTGGAGATCCTGGTTGGCCTAGAGAACAAGTGGAGGGTCTTCACATTGGCTTGGGAGAAGAGATAGTCATGTGGTATAACAAGGGGCAGCCCTACGTATCTGCTTTCTGGGCAACAGCTTTTCCCAGTCTTCATAAGAGACGAGCCTTGGAGGACTCTGTGTCTGGGGTGCTGGTGATGGGGCCTTCAGCTCCTGTAGGGGTCCTGTGCTGGCTGTAGTAGTTCCTCTCACTACTGACAGATGAGAACGGAGAGCCCTGTGAGCCCCTAGGTGGAGTAATGCCCAGTGGGTGCCTCTCTCTGCCCTGCAGTGGTGTAGGCCCATCTTTGTAGTTCTGGGAACCTTGAGGATAGCAGGGCAAGGGATCAATTTTTCCCAGGTGAAGCAGGGACCGGTGGTTGGTTGGTACTGGGCAGGTCACCTGAAGGCACTGGCACACACACAGCCTGTCAAACTGCAAATCCTTGCTCCTGTCATGAATAGTGGTCCCAGGAGCTTGGATGTTTCTGTGGAAACCTGGGTTGGAGTCTTGGAATCCCCTGTGGAGGAGTCCAGAGCCAGCCCATCCCCATATAGGCAGACGGCTTTGGCCTCAGGCTCAGGCTGCTGGTGACCACTGTCATAAGTGGGCTTGGCCCCTCCTTGGCTCTTCCGGACTGGAGAGCTACGTGCAGTCGAGGGTTGCCAAAATGGCTGATAGGTTAAGGCTTGCTGAGTCCAGAGCAGCAGCACTGTCCACATCTGCATACCTTTCTCATTTAAGAGAGTGGGTTTCCTGGTTGGTCTGAGGTGTAGACTCCCTGTATGTGCCTCACCAACTTTTCTCCCTGGGAAAGCATACTTTAGCTTTTCTTTAGCTGAAATTTTTCCACCCACACAGTTAAGGTAAACTGTGTTCCAGAGGCTTCTCTTGTTTTTGGTCATAGCAACACCCAGGGGATGTGACCTCTCCCACCCACAAAAGGCCCCAGGAAGGGAAGATGGAGCCAACAGTGGGATCCTTGGGACCTGCTGGTGCAGGACTGCCTGGATATCAGGGTACAGGGACTGCTGGTATATGGGCAAGTCCTGCACATCAGGTTCTATTCATCAGGCCCCTGGGAAAGCCAGTACCTGCTGACTGCGGAGACAGGCTCTGGCTCCCTTGCTCAGTTCCCTTCACCTACAAGCTGGCTCCTGCATTACCCTGGACCCGCTGAACACCCCCATCCTAGACAGCAGGGTCTCCTTGGAGCTAACTCAATCCAAAACTCAGCAGCTCCTGGGCTCTGTGGTTAGGTTAATTGAAGCGATTGGATAGAAGGTGAGGAGCAGGGGGGCAGGGCTGGGTTGTTGGCCTCTCCCCTCCCCTCTCCTCCTGTTCCCTCCCTCCTTCGCTGGAGGAGCCAACTTCAAAAGCCTCTCCGCGTGCCCCACTGCAGTCCTGTGCAGGGAGGGCCCATAGGCTCGGCTTGGACCTTCTGTGGCTGCTGAGTACCGGCCACCCTTGCTACCCGAGGACCTCAGGGACCATGTATGTGGCCGGTTGCAGGGAGTAAGGGAGGGCGAGACCCTGAGAGGCCCATGGTGAGCAGCTGGGGTGGGGTGGGGGG